AGGTGGCATAGACTCTGAGGCTGCTGCCTTGCCACCCTGGAGCAGATGATGAGGACGGTGATGATGATGATGATGATGATGATGATGATGATGGTGATGGTGCGGAGGAAGCCGACCCTTGACCACCTCTTTTTGGCCTCTACTGCAACGCAATGGGGAGAATGCAACAAGCTAGGGGAAGTGTGTGCTGCGGAGGGAGAGTATGTATTGCTATTTACCATATACTATTTGTTGATTATGTTTTCTGCCTGTTTTTTTATAAACTACCAATGTTTGTCTGTTGTATGATTGATGCCATGAGGCCGATTTTATGACTAATTCAATTGTAGAATGCCTATATGTATATATATATATATATGGTTTTCATTCCATCAATAAGAAAAATGAAAAGGCTAGTTTCTTTACTCTCATCTCTCTTTCATATATCTCTATTTTTATCTAACACACACAAATACATATATACACATGGCTTGCTTTCATATATTACAAATTCATACATCAATTTAGATTATATACCTATACGTATATATACACATATAAATTTATCTATATTATATTATTATTTTATAATACGTTGTTAGCACGAGATTTACTGAGGAAGTACTAATATAAAAACAACATTCTTTTGTATTTTTTTAACACATATAAATTTATCTATATTATATTATTATTTTATATATATATTTTATAATATGTTGTTAGCACGAGACTTACTGAGGAAGTACTAATATAAAAACAACATTATTTTGTATTTTTAAAGTTATTCAAACAAGTTGTGAAAAATTGTGTTCGAAGAAATTTATATACACATAAATTTATCTATATTATATTATTATTTTATATATATTAAGTTATTCAATCTTCTATGTTTTCCACTATCTATTGTAAAAAAAAGGCACCTGAAGATGCCAATGTTCAATATATATATATTTGTTTGAAAATGATGCTAGTGGTGGTGATAATTTTATTATTAACACACAATTAGATGTGTGGTTCTTATGTACCCAAGGTACATATTTTGATAACTCTAAAGGTTTATATTTTAAGAACCCTAAAGGTGCATATTTTGAAAGTTTTGATAATTTATATTTTGAGCACTCTGAAAGTGCAATGTGATAATAAATTTAGATATGGTATCCCATTATACGTAATTGTTTTTTACTCCCGTATTTTGTAATAATATAACAATTATAAATTTTGTTCAAAAGGAATAAATGTGCACATTGTTGACATGTCTATTCAATCCATTGATGGCCTGACACCGGCTCATCCATAGGAGTTGGCCTAGCACCGGCCTAACTCCGGGGATATTACATCATTTCACACTTAAGAATGCAACGTCCACGTTGCACCCAAGGATCGTCAACTGCTAGGCCCGTCACAAGTCCGGTCAACGACTGCAAGCTGTCGCAAGTCGGCTCTTATACCAAATGTGACACCCCGGCCAGCAAGCCACGTAAAGCCGAGCGGTGTTGGGATTGCAGACTGGCCCTACAGGTCAACAAGAGTCCTTTTAGAGCGCTTTTGTCCTTATTCACGCGCACCCTGAGGGACTTCCGAGGGGGTCACCCATCCTCAAATTACTCTAGGACAAGCACGCTGAACTCTAGAGTTCTTTAAGTAAGGTTCTCGAAAAGGAATTTGCACATTGTTGACATGAGTAGTCTATTCAATCCATGTAACCTATATTCAACCTTGGATGACCTGGCACTGGCTCATCCATGAGAGTTGGCCTAGCACCGGTCTAACTCCGGGGGTATTACACCCTGAATGGCAATTGCAAAGTGCTAATGAATTGAATGTACGCCAAAAGCGTGACAGACCTTTAGATTTCAAAGATAAAAATCATTGAAAGAAAATATAAACAAATAAAAGGATTGGAGAATTGAATTTTAATCAAAATTCTCATGAAACAAATAGTAACATGGATCAAATTCCTGAAAAAGTTGATCCTGATAAACTTCTTGAAGAGGTTGATCCTATTTCTTCAGAAGAGAATGGTGTTATTTAAAATTCAATAAATGATATTACTATTGAAAAACATTGGAATCGAAAGGACATAATTATAGATAATATTTTTGCTTATAATATAGCACTTGATTTAATGAAAAATTATAAGGATTCCATAGATCAGTTGATGAATGTCAGAAAAGAAAAGATTGGCTAAAATGAAAAGATGTGATCCAATCTGAATTAAATACACTAATGAATTTTTTTTGGACTTATTATCCAAACACCTGAAAACGTTAACCTTGTTAGCTATAAATGGGTATTTGTTCAAAAAAAAAAAAAATAATTAGATTGTCAGATATAAAGCAAGACTTGTAGCCTAAGGTTTTTCACATACCTGAAATTAATTTTAATGAAACTTGTTATCCATTACTGGATGGAATAATATTTCGATATCTTGTCAATTTGGCAGTTCATAAAAAATTGGATATGCGTTTGATGGACATAGTAACTACCTATTTATATGGCTAATGAGATACTAATATCTATATGAAAATCAGTAAAGGATTCATTATGTCTAAAGCATACAAATCAAAACCAAAATAATGTTATTCTATTAAATTACAAAATTCTTTATATGAGCTCAAATAATCTGATCGCATGTGATATAATCATCTCTGTGAATCATTAATGAAAATGGATATGCCAATGATGTTGTTTGCCTATATATTTTTATAAAAAGAAATGAGAGAAAATTTGTGATAATAACTATTTATGTGGATAACTTGAATTTAATTGGAACCCTTAAAGATATCCAAGAAGCTATTCAATATTTGAAAATAGATTTTAAAATCAAGTATTTCGAGAAAACAAAATTCTGCCTTGGTCTGCAAATTGAACATTTGGAAAATAAAATTTTGGTTCGTCCATTTGTATATACCCAAAATGTATTAAAACGATTTTCAATGGATAAGACACATTCATTAAGTACTTCAATAGTTGTTAGAACTCTCGATCCTATTAACGATTCTTTTAGACCAAAATAAGAGAATGAGAAAGCACTTGGTCCTGAGGTACCATATTTAAGTATTATTGACACATTAACGTATCTGGCTAACAGTACAAGACCATATATAACATTTGTTGTACATTTATTAGCAAGATTTAGTGCAGTGCCAACACAACAACATTGGAAAGATATTAAATATATTTTCCATTATCTCGAAGGACCAATTGATATCGGTTTATCATATTCAAATCATTCTTGACATGAATTGATTGGATATGCAGATGTTGGGTATCTTTCTTACCCGCATAATGTCAAGTCTTAGAGTGGCTATATATTTACTTGTGGCGGTACTATAGTATCCTGGAGATCTACTAAACAAATATTAACTGCCACATCTTCAAATAATGCTCAAATAATATAAATTTTAGAGAAAATGTCTGGTTGAGATCAATGATTCACCATATTTTTTAAAGAATTTTGATTTGAGATCTGAAAATTATAATCCTTATACTATTTTATACAAAGATAATGCAGCTTCTATAACGCAACTAAAAATATGATATATGAAAGGATATAGAACGAAAAAATTTCACCGAAATTCTTCTTTACTCAAGATCTTCAGAAAAATGATCATAATAATGTGTTTCGGATTCAATCCAATGATAATTTAACAAATTTATTGACCAAGGCTTTACCGACTAGAATGTTCAAGAAATTAATAAAAAACATCGGGATGCGTCAGTTGCGAGATTTTAAATGATATCTAACTTAGGAGGAGTATTTTTTAATGCATGAATTGCACATTATTTTTCCTTTATTAGGATTTTTGTCCTATTGACTTTTTTTTATAATAAGGTTTTAACGAGGCGTATTCATTATATTTAAGATAAAAAGGAATATTATGACTCATTATTAATTTAATTTAGGTCTTATATTGTTGGAGTCTAAAATTTGGATACTCCAAAATTGTTTGTCGATTCCGTCGGCGTGGGTTTCGGAAGTACTCCAAAGAGCCAATCCGTCGTCGGGTAACTGAGATCTCATGTGATTGATCGAACTAAACTAAGACAATCTACATAAAGCAAGTAAAACAAATTCCGAGAAACATAAAAGTATGTAATTTGAATTATGCATAAAACAAAACTAAAAACATGAAAAGACATAGAGAAAAATAGGAGTTGATCTTCTTGTGCATGTTTGTGATGTGTGTTTCTACTAGTTTTAATCCTAAAATAGAATAACCGCCTCTTCCATTAAAATGAGCAGTTCCAATTATTCATTCCACCACTCCCAACCACCTGGTAACTTTCTTCCATCAGCTCTCAACCGCTTCCATTGCCTCTGGACCGGGTTCTATTCATTCTGAACATCTTCCATTGCTTTTGGACCGGATTCCACTCTTTCTGAACATCTTCCATTGCCTCTGGATCAGACCTATCGTTTACCTTGACTTGCTTCTATCATACTCCAAGCCGGTCCACGGGGATATGTTCCCAACAGCCTCGAGTTACATGAAATCATCCCTCTTCTTTCTTTTGGCTTGACCCATGGACCATTTTATATAGAACATGTATGTGCCGGGGTCTTCCATTGATATTACGAAGTTACCAACCCAAGGCCAATGCAGGTTTCTGTCTAAGGACCTGTGGAAGCTATATTCTTTTGCTTTATGGAAGCACCACAACCCAATGGAAGTTGTTGCATTCAGCTTGATGGAAGAAGCGACTTCTGAATGTATGGAAACATCGCTTTCAAATGAAATTTTGGTAGTTAGGTGTATTCCGTACTTTAAGTACTTGGACTTGGGGTCCAACAATTGCCCTTCTAAAAAAAGGGATATAATGCAAAACGTATGGAGCTTTACCCCTTTTTTGGAATTTTCTTCTTGTGGAACTTTGAATTCTTCTGGAGTCTCGTCAATTTGCTTCCTTTTTAGAAGAGGCTTCTCCATCTGCTTTCCTCTTGCAAAGGACTCATTCGTCTATTTTTCTATCTGAAGTTGCTCCATAGCTTGCTTTCTTCCGGAAAGTAACTCCATGGCCTACTTTCTTTCTGAAAGTGACTCCACAACCTCTTTCCTTAGTGGCTCCACAACCTGCTTTCTTTCTGAAAATGGCTCCATTGCTTGCTTTCTTTCTGAAAGCGGCTCCACAACCTGTTTCCATTTTGTTAGCGGTCTGGAAAAGTCCTGCTTTCATTTTATCTCATATTTAGCGGTCTCAAAAAGACCTGCTTTCACTTATCCACTTCATTCCTTTATCAAAACTCAAGTGGTGACATATACCCCTTAGGTGTCTAGCATTAATAAAATTTCTATGTTCCATCCAATCAATATTCATCAATCTATAAGAACCATTAGGCAACACTTTACTTACTTGATACGGTCCTTCCCATGTAGGAGACCATTTCCCAAACGTGTTATCTTTGAAGCCTTTAGGTAACACTGCCTTCCCCACCAAATCTTCTTCGTTGAATGCTCGTCGGTGTACTTTTTTGTTGTAAGCTCGTACCACTTTCGCTTTATTCACTAAGATATTCTCCAAACCCATCATCCGATCTTCATGTACGTCAACCAACCTTTGTAACATGGCAGTATCATATTGCTCATGGCTGAGCAAATTCTGTTTCAAGACTCGTAAAGATGGCACCGTGATTTCCAATTGCAATATCACTTCTTGTCCATAGACCAGATGGAACGGGGTGCAACTGGTACCTTTACTTCGGTATTGCTTACAGGCCCATAAATCTTTACCCAACACTTTGTGCAACCTTCTCGGATTGTCTTCCACAACCTTTTTAATTACTCCGACTAAGACTTTATTGGCTGCTTCGGCCTGCCTGTTTTCCTGTGCATAATACGGGGACGAATTCAAAAGAGTGATCCCGTATTGTGTGGCAAATGTGGCTACTTTGTTACTGGTAAACACAATACCTTGATCGGCGGTAATCGTTTGTGAAATTCCATACCGGTGAATAATGTGTTCCTTGATAAACTTAACCACTTCTTGATATGTCACGTTGGCCAATGGTACAGCTTCGATCCACTTTGTGAAATAATCAGTGGCCACTAATATGAATGATTGTCCTTTGGAGGATGACGGATGAATCTTTCCGATGATATCCATCGCCCATCCTCGGAATGGCTATGGTTTCATGACTGCATGCATTTCTTCCACTGGAATTCGGATCAAAGGACCATGTTGCTGACACGCCTTATATCCTTGAGCATAATTGATGCAATCCTCTGTCATTGAGGGCCAAAAATACCCATACTGTCGGATCGTCCATCTTATGATTAATCTGGATATGTGTGCTCCGCAAACCCCTTCATGCACCTCACCCATCACCTTAATGGCTTCTTGAGTATCCACGCATTTCAGTAATATTCCATCGGCGGCTCTGTGAAAAAGATCTCCATCAATCAAAGTATATTTCAGAGCCTGCCTCTCATAAATCCTGTGCTTCCATTGGGCATAGACCCACCTTGACTTGAACTTTCCTCCAGCTGGCAGCTTATACCTAGAGGCTTCTTGAGCTAAGTCATTAGCTACTCTATTCTCAGCTCGAGGTATGAATTCCACAATTGCATCGTCAAAATTCTGCAACATAGTTGCTGCTCTCATTCGAAGGCTTCTCAATTTTTCATCATTGGACTGGAACTCACCAGCAATTTGCTTAAGAATCAACTATGAATCCTGAACTCTGATCACTTTAGCTCATTTTTATGGAGGATCCTCAGTCCAACTAATAAGGCTTTGTACTATGTTTGATTATTAGTAAATCCGGACGCCAATGGTTTGGCAACGATCCACTTTCTTCCCTATGGACTCTCAATAAAGACACCAGCTCCAGCGCTGCTTTGAGTACTGGAACCATCAAACTTTAAGATCTATGGCACAAGACTACTAACAGCTTCCAAACGACCAGACGCTTGCTTGGATATCGAACTCGGATGATCTGCCAAAAAAATTAGTAACGACCTGTCCTTTAACAACTTTAATTGGTCAATATCGTAAAATCAAAGGAGGTTAGCTTTACAACCCATTTTGCTCGCCTCCCTTTCAAAGCTGGTCTGCTTAATAAATATCTTAAAATATCGATATAACACACAACTTCCGTCTCCCTCGGGGCCAAATGACACTCAAGTTTTGTGCAAGCATAAAATAAAGCGAGACATAATTTTTCCATAGGAGTGTACCTCGTCTCCGCATCGTTCATTACTTTACTGAGATAAAAAAAAATGGCACGCTCGCTTTTTTCAGGAGCCTCATGCGCCAGCAAGCAGCCGACTGTATTCTCGGTGCCCGAAACATATAAGCGTAAAGGTTAACCTGCTTGCGGTGGCATCAGCACTGACGGACTGGCCAGAGCTTCCTTAATAGCTTCAAAAGCCTGCTGGTGTGGCAGCTTCCACATAAATTCCTCCATATTCCTCAATTTGAGTAACGTGGAAAAAGCTTTAAGCTTGCCCGCAACATTCGAGATGAATCTTCGCAAGTTTACCTCCCCAAGGAATCCTTGGAGTTGTTTCCGATTCTCAGGCGGTAGGGCATTGATGATCGCTTTCGTCTTGTTACTGTCCACCTCGATACCCTTATTATACATCATAAAACCCAAAAAGTTTCCAGAGGCCACTTCGAATGTGCATTTCGCTGGATTCATCTTCAAATTTTATTGCCTCATTTACTGGAAAGCTTGCTCAAGGTCCACCAGATGTTCTGAAAACCCTTATATTTCACCATAATGTCATCGATGTAAACTTCCACCGATTGTCCAATGAAATTATGAAATTTGGTGTTCATTGTTCACTGAAAAGTAACTCCAGTATTCTTCAACCCAAACGGAATTACCATCCATTCGTATACTCCAAGGGTCCCTGGGCATCGGAATGCCATTTTTGCAACATCCTCCTTGGCTATGAAAATTTGGTTGTAACCGGAATGCCCATCCATAAATGAAAGATTTCTGTTCATGTCGGCTGTGTCCACTAACATATCGGTGATGGGCATAACGTACTCATCTTTGGGTGTCGCCAAATTCAAATTGCGGTAGTTAACGCATACCCGCAATTTACCATTTTTCTTAAGTACGGGAACTTAAGTTGGCCACCCATTCCGAGTATCGACAAGTCCGAATAAATCCTGCCCCCAAGAGCCGTTGAATTTCCTCTTTGATGTTTGGGTACATATCTGGATTAAACCTCCACGGGAGTTTCTTGTGGGGTTTGTATCCAGCTTTTATGGGTAGTCGATGTTCCACGAGTTCTCGAGCAAAGCGTGGCATTTCATCGTAATCCCAAGCGAAGCAATCCCGGTATTCATTTATAAACGTTACCAAGGCAGCTCGAGCTTTTGATGTTAACAATGCACTAACTTTGGTGATTCGTGGAACTTTATCAGTGCTCAAATCAATGTCCTCCAGCGGATCTTAGGCCTGGAACACTGGGTATGTTTTGTGCACGGGTGATGGTCATTATGCTTCACTGGCAGCTTCCCTGGATGGTTCTGAACTACCAATGGAACTTGTTCTGAGCAGCTCTGGATCTTCCATGGAGCCTGCTCTGGCCGGCTCTGAACGTTGCGCAACAGAGCCTGCTGCGAGCGGCTCAAAATTTTCCAGGTAGCCTGCTCTGGACAACTCTGAACTTTCAATGGAGCCTGTTCTGAGCGGCTCAATACCTTCCATGGAACCTGCTCTGAACGGCTTTGAACTCGCAATGAAGCCTGCTCCGAGTGGCTTATATAAAATTTCGTTGCATTTAAAATTCATCATATTCTTCATTCATAGGCCGTGGGTCGGCCCTCGCTTGAACCCTGAACTGCTTATCACCAAACACACACTCATAATCTCCCTCGTTAGGAATAGAGGTGATCACTTCCGACAATAGAATCATCTCCGAATGGTATAAAGTCGCATCTACAGCAATGACCTCTGTTGCGAATGGATCTTCTCTGCTTCAACTTCTTGAACCTCTTCGCCATCCCAAAATAGCAATTTCTGATGCAAAGTCAACGGGACACACTCACAGGCGTGAATCCAATCCTGCCCCAACAACACTGCATACGATGGGCGGCTGTCTATTATCAAAAACGCTGAAGGTAATTTTTTTGTACCAACTTGCACATCGACAGTAGCAATACCTTCCGGCTTGTACGAATTTCCCATAAAATCTGTGGCTCGTATTGAGGTTGGTATTAAATCATCCCTTGCCTTTCCCAACTTCCTAAATGTCCGAAACGGCATCACGTTGGCAAATGCACCGCCGTCTATCACTACTCTACCTATAGGTCATCCATCCATTAAAGCTCGAATGTACAGGGGCTTTACATGTCTATTCTACCCGGACCCAAGTCAATTAATTGTGACTGTGGTTACTACGTGACTCAACTCTAAAACTGGGCTCTTCATCCACGATCACTCCCTCGTAACTTTTCTCTCCTTCCGGGGCTTTGAACTCAGATGGCAACAATCCAACCGATAATTGGATAGCCTCAGCATCAGGCTCTTTCGACGGTGTGGCTTTTAGTACCCATCGACGTTGCCAATTTGGAGCGGGTCCGGCACTCGGTGTAGAAAATATCAAGTGGGTGCAACTATTTATTTTCTCGAGGTTTTTCCTTCTGTTCCTCAACTTTTGGGGCTTTCTCATCTTGATTCCTTGTTTGCCGAACCTCCATTCTTGATTCAGTTTTCTTATCATTCGATGAATTTTTTTCCTTTGCTACCTCACTATTCCGACTTGGCTGAATACCTTCAGCTTCCAGCCTAGCTTGTAATCGTTTAAAAAAGCTTTGTCCCCTTCATTTTTGAGACCGCATAAGATTACCCATTGCCCTCCTGGCATTTCGCTCCGGCGCATTGACTGTCGACTTCTCCAAGTCCACTGCTGATGGAGGCTTACACGTCATTTTTGGGGTAATGGTAATTTGATCAGCGGACGTAATAGTCCAAACTCACTGGCCAATAGCAACTTTCACCTCGGCCACAGTGGCATCCAGTTGAGCCTTAGCTATTACATTATTGTAGTCTGGCTTATAGGATGATCGAGCTTCCTTGACACTTGGAATCGTCACTTTCACATTGGGGCTCCGCTCTACGACTCTAGGTTTCTTGCCCTCATCATTGCCATTAGACAACTTTCCTGCAACTAGCCTATCTAAGACTGAACCCTGTTGTGGCATCCTAGGTTCGAGTCTTTCATGAACCGGCTGCCGAAATGGTTGTTTCCCTTTGCATTATCTCCCGGGACCTCCTACGGACATGGTATTAATGGACGGAGCCGGAAACGGATTTACATCCACTTGCATGCTTCTCTCTGCTAATTTTAATCCGCCCTCGTCTGAGGCCTTCTGGATTGTATTCCGTAGGTACGTTCAATTGGCGGTAGCATGCGTGTAGCTTCCATCCATTTACAGTATGTTTTTCCTTTCAGCTCCTCTGGTAACGGAACTCCATGCCCGTCCCGGAGTTTGATTTGTTTGTTCTTCAGCGAATAATCAAATATCTGCTCAACCTTAGACACATCGAAGGTATATTGCGTACCCCTAATCTCCTTGCCCTTTATAGGCCTTAATTCCGGACAAGAATATGTTTTTCCTCTTAGCAACTCAGCGGCCAACACATCTTGGTCCTCAGAACACTCCTTATTGGCTGGAATTTCATCATCCACGCAATATGTCACTCTAGTTTTTCCATCTTTCTTCCACCTTCCAACTGCGGCATCCCGTCTCTCTCAGATAAGCTTCTCTGCTCTCATTGCCAATGCGCTTAAACGCGAAAAATCCTGTATATCTTGAACTCCTAAATGATCCCGAAGGTCTGATCACATATTATCCACTTTCGCAGCGGTTGATTGCTGTTCTGGAATTTGCACCGTGCACCGCACTTTAGCTTGCTGAAATCTCTTTAGAAACTATGCCATATGCTCATCATACCCATTTTTTACAGCTACCAGATGGGATATCGTAGTCTCCACAGGTGGCGCATAAAACCGGTCATGGAAAATTCTCTCCAAATCTAACCAAGACTGTACGGTACCTGGGGCCGACGATGTATACCACAAAAATGCAGTACCTGTTAGAGATAAAGAAAATAATTGCAATCGATACCAGTCATTTCCACCCAA